TTGCTGATTTATGAATTTGTCCGTATTTTAGTGAATCATTTGAGTTATTCCAGCTTCAGATGGACTGCGATATTCGATTGCTTCTATCAGTGCTGTTGCTACCGGTTTGTTGTTTCAGTGTGGCACAAGCATCAGTAGGCTTTTATGTGGATAATGAGAATGCGCAATCGATACCACTTGCTGTTAGCAGGTCTTCAGGCTTACTTTTCACTTCTTTTATTTCACGCGAAAGTGAAGAAGCTGAAAATTCAGTGTTTATTAGTAAAGGGGAGTTTATGTTATTTCATCAATTAGTCCCTGAATTAGCTATTGGCATAAAAGTTTAATGATTAAAAGACACTTACTCCGATAGGTAGGTAGAATAGAGGTTCGTTCTGTCTTCGAAAATTTCAGTCAAATTCTCGGCATTGTATCGGGTGCTTTGCATTGACAATGAAGAAAAGATGGAAAAAATAGATATAAAGCGATCTTCATCTTTCAAAACCTGACAATCGTTTCTTTTTATTATAATATTAAAAAATAACTGAAAAAGAAGTCTGGTAATCCCATCTCTTTGAAAATGCATCTGCCAACTAGAATGTTTTGTTGCAGAAAAGCACATCTTTGAACGTGCATTACAGAAGCCAAAAAGGAAGCAAAATCAAAACCCTAATTTCAAATGTGGAGTAAATTATTAGCAGAACATTGTAAATTTATTGAAAGTTGTCAACTTCCGTAGATCTCCTTTCAAGCTTACGTATGAAATGTCCAAATTCTACAAATATTACATAATGTAATTTGTATAAATATTAATTCCAACGGTAAAATTGATGTGTCGAATGTCACTGTGATTAGATCTCTTTCATACTGTTCTAACGAAAAATTTATTCCTCATCTCTCATATTAGACTTTTTCCACACTTCATCATGCTACAAGATTCCTTGTACTCGGCATGCTATTACTGCAAAGAGAGACTATCGTACAATATCCATTCGCCTTGTGTTGCTGTGCTTCAGAAACGTCCTTTAGCAAAAATAATCATGCATATCTACCACGTAATGGAACAACTTGTTTCCTAAGATTGCTGTGTCTAAGAAATAATGTGTATTTTTCAAACTTTTGCGTTCACTAATAGTTTTTTAGACATGGAACTGCGAGACTGGAGTCGAAAATATTAGAATTGTTGGGAATTGAATATCCACGACCGCTAGTTGTTCGTGTAAAAGATGACATAGCATCACGTTTTATGGCGGATTTATATCGAAATTTAGAGCACGACGTTGAATTGAATCCTACTTACAAGTATTAGCACTTTTTTTTCTTAAAATTACTACTGGAATGAAGGAACGGACTCCGAAAAAGGTAGTCAAAACGTAAATGCTGCGGGAAAAAAGAAGAAATTCCTCAGGAAATGTAAATACTGCATCTTTGAAGAGATGAATCATTTGATTACTTAAGTGATCATCGTGCGGTAAATTCATCGTTTTCTCTCCCAAAAAATTTCCCTCCATTTTGCATCGCAATTTTTTAATTCAATGAAGGGGATGTTTGGTTTTATTTTAGATATCTGGCTAGTGGGCAGTTATTGTCAGCGGGTGAGAAAGAAGCCATCGAATTAGGCGAAGCTGATACAATTATTTCATTTTTGCCACGAGGTTATAATCATTCGAACCATCTCGTTCCATTCATTGAAATAATTTCTTGTTAACTCTGTAATTTGACTTTCGGAGCACAAACTAGGGATATATGCTGTAATTCTTTACTTTTTATTTTTACTTTTCAGTTAATAACCATTATTCATATAATCGTATTACATTATTCATGTAATACGAGCTCTTATGCTCCAAACATTCATCATTTATTAAATATCTCTTGACATTGCCATAGTTGGATCACTCTAAGGTGAACTCGCCAGTATATTATTGTTTGAATTTTCAAATGTTACAACAGAAGTATTTTTTCAGAGCAGAGAACAGTGCCAAATTACGGGACAAGTTTGCAGTTCGATCTTGCTAATATACCGCGAGGTGGTCGGCTTGTGCATGCTCAACTTCGGATATTCTTTAATGGTTCGATGAAACCACTACGTGTCTTCGCAACTATTCCGTATTCGAGGTTTTATTGTGAAAAAATTGTTAAAAATAACTTGTTTCTGAGATTTGTCCATTTGTTTTTCTTAAGATTCTGTGCTGATGATCACTTTTTAGAGTATCTTTCCCACTTTATAATGCTTACTGCTTCAGACCTAGTTTTATAAAGGGTTCCAAATAGTCATAAATCTGATCCGCATGGCCTGTTGTGGAGTAGTACTTTATCAGAAAACTTTTTCTTCTATTTTTGTTTACGGCAACTTTTTTATGCAATACTGAAATCTAACAAAGTTGGTTTGAACTCGCTTAGTGATCTTGAAAAACTGTTATCACAACTGCTATCTTGAGTGCCTTTTTTGTATCGACACTTTAATGTACATGTTTAGGGATCTAACTTGTACGACAACGGTAGAATCACGTATTACAAGCAGCGGACATTTTGTAATAAATATTACGGAAACACTTCTACGCTGGATTCATAATCGTTCACTTCTTAATATCGTAACTCTGTATGCAGTCTCAGCGCATGGTGCGTCAGTGAGGGTTTCTGTTTAATCTTCGATATGTTTTTATTGGTTCTAGAAGCAACAAAATTTTATTTTTCTGAAATATAGTTCTAGACGCTTTGTTTGCTAGTTAGAAAATATGATGGGTGGGAGGGAAACTATTTTGATGAACTTCAGTTTGAGATTAATCTTTATAAAATTCTTTCGCATCTTTCTCGATAACTTTAGGAGAAAGGGAGCTCTTGGAAAATTTTGGTGAATGGCGTGGGTTTGGAATAGCTTCCTTTGTGGACGGTATAAATCATATCCACCAGCGTATTAAACGTGACGCATCTGATGAAACTAATGCCTTCGATGATTATGGATATGGCTTTTCGGCGAGGCCTGATCCACTGCGACATTCAGGTAGATTTAGAAATTTTTTACTTTTTTTCATTTTTTAATGCCAGTCGCATTTTGTAGCTTTTTTTCTTATATTTAATTTGTTTTCAGCTTCTAATAAAGGTTGCCGTAGGCGAACACTTTATGTAGACTTCAAAGATCTTGGTTGGCAGGTAAATGCTTTTGCTTGTTCTTTTGCTGTTTAGCAAAGCGTTTTCACTACAATTACATTTGATATGGCATATGGCATTGGTCAACTGTTTTGCACAATAAAGACTATGCTAAATGATTGGAGAGTTGATCTTTTTGATTTACAAATTTCTGTAATTATCATTATACACAGTTACAACCTGCAGTGTTTTCTTGCGAATACTATAGGATTGGGTTATTGCACCAGATGGTTATCATGCATATTATTGTGATGGTTTCTGTTCATTTCCACTGAATAATCATATGAATGCAACGAACCATGCTATTGTTCAAACGCTTGTTCATCTCATCGACCCTACTAGGTTTGCTTGCATTCTACATTGGATACATCTATTAGTTCATTTTTTATGAACACATTTTTGATGTTATTTCGAGTTTATGGGAGTTCACTATCACTCATTTCTGTTTTATGTTTCCTGTAATTCGTATGGACTGCTTTTTCTTATAAGCGGACGCGCAAGAAAAGAAAAGGAAAAAATCGCTTTATTTTTACTTTGAATATCGGTGATGTAAAAATGCGGTAAGTGTAATGTTATATCCAACGAAGACACACGTGTCTTTATTACATCATTTGTCCTTGCAAGCTGAGAAATGATGAAAATTTTTGAATAATTCCCTGTACACAGTCGTGTGTAAAAAACGAAACAAAGATATCTTCTTTAAATAATCGTTAAACTAGTCATGATTCATTTGTCTGTATGCTCGAGTAATATGAAAATTCATATCATGGATGGATTTAACATTTACCTAAAGTATTCAGTAACATACCTGTCCAAAACTATTTTCCATTTATATGACATAAGAATCCCTTGTCGTGCGCGATTAGAAACGATCTGTTTTCCTTATATCCCCTCAAACAATATCTTAGCAGTTTACATCTTGGAACTTCTTTGTTCTTTTTATTTCTTGAAATTTGTCTTATTATTCCGTGTCCTTTTTTGTCTGGAAATTATAATTCTTTATTTATAAGAGGTATTTCTCTTTGTGTGTTTTGAATTTTGATTGATCGATAAGAATAATCATTTAATATTTTTACGTACTGTCAAATTGTATTTGCAGAACATCAGAGGCAAAATGTGCACCTTCATCGTTACGCTCAATGAAAATATTATTCATCGATAATGCTCAAAATGTGGTGCTGAAACGCTACAAGGATATGCAAGTACGTGATTGTGGTTGTCAGTAGTCGCATGTAGTTATCAATTCTTCATAATCTACTCCATATGCTTTTCAGCAGTTCATAATACATACATTTGGTCTTTTTTTTCGCAAGTAATTTTTTTCTCTCTAGTGTTATTTAAAACGATCCAGTTGCTTTTTTGGATGCTTTTCAATATATCTAAGTCAAGAAAGAATTAGAAAGTACAACACCTAGAAGCTATCTGCGAGCAAATCATGATGTCCCGTAGTATCTCACAAATTCGAAGGGCCAAATTGGTCATCCAGTTCTGGATAAGCATCTGAGGTCTGAGGATAAGGTCATGATATGCTTGGAACATCGATCTTTGAGTTGGTTATCATGTCTGAATTATTGTTCGGAAGTTTCACCAATAAGAAACGGTGTTTCAACTATCTCATTATACGTCTCTTTTACCATTGGTCAAACTTGTAAGTTGAAATTCTTTTCGTGGTGTCTATAAACTTGCATTTCTTGAAGGCTTCTTCGTATATTATAATTCCATGCATTATACTTATTGATCACAGAAATTTAATATGCTATTTAATATGTATTTAGCATTTGCATTCCTACTTGTGTATAATAATTGTTTACATGCAATATCTTCACTTATTACGGTTATTGCTATTTTATTAATTTTTTGATGGATCCCGTGATTAACCCTTCCATACTTCTTTCATACAGATTGGTGGGTTCATCTTTTATCATTGCATTTTTTTAAAACAATAATACTGCCCAATACTGTGCATTTTTTATTTTGTTACTATATTTTAGGGCGTGTTCATTGGATCTTATATTTTCTTATTTAATCTTTTTGTTATACATTGAGCAAGTCAATGTAGTTTTAAACTATACAGTTTTATGTAAGAACATTCCTTATTAAATTAGACTAACGCATAGCGTGGCATTATAATGTATGTCGGATGGAAGTTCCGTATAAAGCAAGATTGTCCACACTATAATTATTTACCGTATATATTATTGTTTGTTAAAACGTGCCGTGTTATATCTGAAAAAATAAAACTTGTATATAATTTTGTCTCCTACGCGACTGCACCGTAATTTCTGATATCTATATACATAACGTGATATCACCAGTTGAATAGGGTCGCCTTATAATTGGAGTTTCAAAGGACCTCTGAAGTTTAAATCCTGAACAGTTTATATTATTAGCATGGATTATATTTGTGCCTAAGTTTAAATCAACTTTGCTATCATCTTTTGGGCCAAGTTCGCGATTGTCTGCATGTCATTTGATGGCAGAGAAGTTTTCACGGTATTGGAGATTTTCCTTCAATTTGTTTGTATTGGCTTTTTTGGTTTTGGCTTTAAAAAAACAATAAAGGTTTTTTTTCTCTTTTGATTTTAGGCCACCATCATTTTGCGTTGTTATGAAGCGGTATAAACGGATTTTGCTGTACTGTAAGCTTGCACAGTTTTTGGCGGTGTTATATATCAGATGGTTCCAGAAAAATCCAAGTCAATACATCTGGACGCATCGCAGTGGTCAACAAATTTCCATCAGGGAAAAGCGTTCTCGTTATGGCCATCAGAGGTTTTCTATCTTCTATTCCGTTAATTTGAAAAATCATCTTTTTCAATAGATATAACCTGGAAAGTTCATTATCTTCAACAATGCCTTCTTATCAAAGTGTGGAATAGAGGGATATTATATTGCTCAACCTTTACCACTGTGAAATTTTTTCAAATTAGTTCTATCCAACTTTTATGCCATTTATCACCACAACATTGTTTTCAAATTCTGAACGCATTATTTTGATCGTTTTGATTGTTCAGGAATTCGTGGTAACCTAAAGATTTCAAAAGAATGGTAAAAAAAATGGTTGCTGATGGCCAGAATTGTTAAGTAGATAGACTGCTGTTAGTAGATAGACTGTC